AGGAAGTCCCCTCCATATTCCTTCCTGCGTCCCAGGTGGTCCCTGGCCTCCAGCAGGATGTCCAGCTGGTCCCCCCTGCAGTATGTGTCCCTAGGGTTAAGGATGGTGGCTGTGCTGTGTGTGGCACTGGTTGTGGTGTCCTCATGGGTGAAGGGTCTGGGCGGAATCAGCTGGTCTAGTCTCCCTAGGATCTCCTTTATTCTCAGCTCAGTCTCCGTAGGTGATGTTTCCCCTTGTTTCTTGGCAATACGGTTTCTCAAACTGAAGGAGAACTGAAGGATTGAGGAGAAAGGATATATTTACTACCAACAGATAATAGGGCTTGCTTTTCAATATAAATTAGCATGATTCATTTTATAAATTTCTGCATGATTAAGTTACATATCAGTGATGAATTCAAACTAGTTTTCAGTTATGAAATTATAGGAATTGATTTCCAGGTAGTGTGACTTCCTCTGCTGCCCAATAGATGATTTCTTTTGGGGGTCATTGGCTTAAAAAGTAACTGGATAACCTTAGGTCTGTTTATTCTACAATATATAGAAGCAACATCTCCACTTACATCCCTATAATGGACCTAGACCTAGACTACTCATAGCTAACTTTATCTTCTCTCCTCCAAATATATTTCTCCCAGTGTGGTAGGAGAACTTCAATAAACGGCATCACCAGCCAAGCAGTTGTACAAACCTGGAATATAATGCCTGGTTAGCCCAACTCCTCCCCTCCCACAGTCAGTCACTCTAGCTGTCAATTCCATGTTAAATTCACTGACTTTTCTTCCTCTTTATTATTAGGACCTTATTTCAAGTCACCATTACCTCTCAGATCAGATCACCAAACAGTCTTTCTTAGTTATTTATCATTCATTAAGCATCTACAGTATGCCAGACACTGTTCTGAGCACTGGATATACCAATGAATTAATAATATCAAAATCCTTGCCTTCTGGGAGAAAAAAAATAGACAATAATCAATGAACAATATAAATCAATCAATTGATTATATAGTATAGTGAAAGTGAAAAGTATTGCAACATAAGAAGTCAAGCAGAATAAGAAGAACGCAAAGAGGTTGTATTAAGGCTGATTCTAGCATTAAATAAAAAGTTGTACTAAATGGTTGGAAGGAGGAGAAACTGGAAGCAAGGCCAGTTAAGAAAAACTGCAGAAAAGGGAAATCTGAGAAACGTTAAATGGGCTACTCAAAAAATAAAAAAAAATTAAAACCCTGTGAGAAGATAGAGGACTGAAATAGAGATTTAATTGAATTAGAATCTCTAAGGCCAAGGGAGGAGAGAACCTTGAGGTGGGATGCTTGGCAGTGCCAAGTGGTACAGAGATTCACCTGTCTCCAAAACAAACAATAATAGTGCATATATTGTCAAAGGACTAATGCTGAACAGAGAACCCTCTCCTCCATATTCTCAGGCTAAGATGATTTGTTTGAAATATTTCTTCCTTCCTTCCTTCTTTCCCTCCTTCTCTCTCTCTCTCTCTTATACAAAAGATTGAACTCAGGGGCACTTTCCCACTGACCCACATCCCCAGCCTTATTTTATATCTTATTTAGAGACTGGGTCTCACTGAGTTGCTTAGTGCCTGCTATTTTTGAGCCTGGCTTTGAGCTTATCATCTTCCTGCCTCAAACTACCGAGCTGCTGGGATAAAGGGGGTACACCACCGTGCTGAGCTTAACTTTCATTTCTTGTCCTGATAATGGAGAACATTCAAACGAAGTCACTGTGACTATCTATGAAATTCTGAAAAAATTCTAAAACAATTCCTACCTTTGTGTGGCCTTTTGAAGTGAAGTAAATGACCCCCAAAACTAAGATAAACATCAGCATCAGCATGCATTTGTGAGCAATTGCATTTGGAAACAACAGCAGTATCCTAGAAGATGAATAATCACATTAAATCAAACCAATATGATGTATCTCTGTACACTTTGGATCCTCCTTAATAACTTTCACAACATGGTAATGTTGTCCTGTGTTTGCAGAAAGTTAATTTATGTCTGGAAATCAAAAGCAAAATTCCTCCCTGAGGCAGGAATATAACTAGTTGAAGGACTCCTGGCTTCTTATTCTCAGGTTAATTCTCCAGGTACGGAGGCCCATCAGGTCACACCTTCTTCTCTCATCCAGGACTTGGCATGGACAGCAAGGAGTTAGCAATCAGTCACTCAAGGAGATATGATTCTTTCCTGCCCCCTTTCCCTGTCATTAGAGCTTACTAGTGAGGTCCAAAGGTACGCACCTATGGATGACTATCTGCTTCAGCATGTTCTCAGATTCACCTGTACCGATTTCAGCCGTCCAAAGAGTCTGCTTGGTCCAAGAGGTCTTTGCATTTATTTCAGGTTTGGAGTTTCCTCTTCAGCTTCATTGATTTCTCTGAAGCCACAGGAAGCTCTGAAGTTTGCTTTTACAAAAGAACATCTCAGGGCAGGGCAGGCTCAGTCACCCATGACGGAAGCTTCAAGTACCCACACCACGCATTTCCCTGGCTTGTACCTTTGTTTGGTTGTTTTGTGGGATCAGTCAGTTATGCCTTGTGTGACAGAAGCACCCAGAAAATTGGAAAGAAGAAAAACACAAGTCCTATCCTATTTCTGAGCACCTAAGAATTGACTTAGCTGGCTCCTCACAGTATTTGGATGCTTTCCTTATACGTCTCCTTATACAAGGGCTCAACATCACTGAATTTATTAAGCATTATGACAATAATGGTTTAAATGAAATCTTAGGCATAAGGGGAACAATCAATAGATCTAAATCCTACTGCAACTTGCCTAAGGTAAGAATCCAAAAGAGTAATCTCTGAGGATGTAGGTTTCATGACATTTGTTATAGTTTAGATATCAGATGTCAACCAAAGCCCATGTTCAGAGTGAAATTGTTACATGAGAAGACTTATAAACTAATCATTGAATTAAGTGGGCAGTAACTGTAGGCAGGTAGAGTGTGGTTGGAGGATTTAGATTTATATTTTATATCCTCCTTGGTGAGTAGAGCTCTTTCTGCTTCCTAGTTTCCATTACCTTCTGTCATAATATTCTGCCTCCTTCAGGCCCAGGACCATCTACCAATCATGGACTGAATCTCTGAAACCATGAACCGAAATAAATGTTTCCTCTTGTATGTTATTTTTGTCAGGTATTTTGGTCACAGTGATGAAAAAAAACTGACTGAAACATAGGAGAAAAAAATCGACCTGTTTTTGTTTGTTTGTTTGTTTGTTTGCTTCATTTTAGGATTGGCTTATTTCACGTGACATGATGGTTTCCAGATCCATCCATTTACTGGCAAATGTCATAAAATGATTCTTCATTATGGCTGAGAAATATTCCATTGGGTATATATTCCACAATTTATTTATGCATCATTATGTATTAGACAAAGGGGAATAAAGGGAAGGGAAAGGGATAGGAAAAGGAAAGTCAGTGGAGTGAATCTGACATAACTTTCCTGTGTACATTATAGGTATACACCACAGTGAATCCTACTTTATGGGGAGCCACTCCAGAAAGCACTCTAAGTCCAAATTTCAAATCAAAAGAGAGCTTTATTTACCTGGCCAGGGACTGTCGCCCACTGTGAGACTCAAGCTCTGTGGGAGGACAGCAGCTTCCTGGTCCATCCAAGGAGAACATAAGGACAAAAAACAACAACTCAGTGACTTGCATATTGTCATGTAAGCTAGCCAATCACAGAAATTAAAACATTAATAAGTGGGACCTGTGGGCTCTAGGCAGGACTGGACTTTTCCAGTCAGCAAGCAAGCAATGAAGAGAAGCAAAAAGCATTAGCTTTGCAGTTCAGTTGACCACAGTCCTGGGTTCAAGCAGGTCCAAGTTCTATACTGAATTTGGGTGGGGGTAAGCAGGGCAAGAATCTACTTCAAAGTCATGTAGACCCACAATGGCATTCAAACCCAGAATGTAGCTCATCACAACCACTGCTGCATCCGGAAAAGGGTACAATTTATGGGGTACAAAATACAGAAAAACATTTTTTATAAGAAAACAGCTTTAGTGTCTATTTCCTAGAAATGGGTCGTACAGTTCACTTCACAAAGAAGAGAGAGTAACAAAGAAACTAAGATGGCGTTTCTATAGTCACATCTTTTTACTCAAATGACTATAATCCCTATTCCCATAATCCCAGCAAGGTGGGAATTGTTGCAAGTGACTAATGAGACTCTACCAGAGCAATTGATTTACACACTCAGTACTAGTAACTTATTTGATGCCTACTTATAACTACAGTTATCTTATGGCATATACACACATTTTCATTTGTCATTTTACTAATATCTATAAACCCTATGTTCTTTATCCTATACAAGGCTATAAGATCAAGTTGCTATGCTAATCTAACCTTATCTATGTCTATATTAACCCACTTGCTTATATTTATTTATAACTATACTGACATACTGGCTTATGCTATGGCTTAAATCCTATGTTTTACAGTTATATGATTTTTCTACTATAACTGAGACTTATTCCTGATGAGCTTATGTTTTACATTGCTTATCTATGTTATCTTATTCCTACAGTCTTTAATCTATGTTTTTGCTGGTTGATTATCTATTCCGTTTTGTCTTATTGATTATATTGATCATTTCACACCATAACATTACCATCTTGTACAACCATAAGAAATTAATTTAAAATAATAATAATATCTGAAAGGACACTCACAGAGTCCATGCTAAGTTTAAGGACCACATCACACACTGGAACGTCACACAAGAGATTTTATTGTGGTAACATGAGGTACACCTTTGACAAGGCTGTCCCTTTGGCAGTCTTTTGGTACTCACAGAGCAGCTTTATATCCCACAAGACGAATCTCATAAACTGCTTAGGAGTTTAAGCTGGGTAGGGTTGATCGTATTTTTTTTTTTTTAACCAGGCACATGTTCTTACAAGAAGTTAACAACATTGCCTCAGGATCAAAACTTTGGAACCTCTAGATAAAATGGCTCCCAACCTAAAATGGTGAATTTGATGGCAATATTTCTCCCTTTTTGTTTTTATTGATACCTGGGGTGGGGTTGATGGTCTTTCTTCTGTAGCTTCTTCCTGTTGGTTGGGTACAAAGAATTTCATTCCTGTAAAGGGGGTTAGGGAGGGTTTTTGGTGGGAGCAGAGTCTCTGGAGTTGGAGTAGTTGATAACGAGTCACATGTCTCAGTCTTGGACGTCAAGGACTGGTAGTCTTTGTAGCAGCCTCCTCTGATGGAGAAGAGTTCTTTAGGAATCAGCAGGGAGCTTCAGAGGTCCTGTGAGGGTTGCCATATATTGAGACTGATCTGTAAAGAGGGCTTCAAAGGAGGAGGTCATCTACATATTGAAGAAGTTTAGATTAGGGGAGTGAGAGGAAAATTCCTAGAAAGGGTTTGGCCAAATAGATGGGGACTATCTCTAAATCCTTGGGGTAGGACAGACCAAGTTAACTGGGTAAAGATATGAGTGTCTGGGTCTGTCCAGGTGAAGGGGACAATGTTCTGGGATTGGGGGTGTAAGGGAATGGAGAAAAAGTATCTTTAAAATCCAAAATTGAATAATGAGTGGGTGCATGAGGGAATGGTACACAAGAGTTTGTATGGGTTGGAAACTACTAGGTGAATGGGGATTATGGCTGTATTAATGAGGCAAACATCCTGTATGAGCCTGTAGGATCTATTTGGATTCTTGACTGTTAGGATGGGTGTGTTAAAAGGGGAGATCGTTTTGTGTAGGAGGCCTTTTTGGAGAAGATCAGAGATTAAAGGTTTGAGACCCCTGAGACTCTGGAGGGAAAGTGGATATTGAGGTCATGCTGGGAAATAGGTGGAGTTCTTGAGAAGTATTATCAGGGGAGGGTGGTGGGCAGCTATGGAGAGGTTTTGGAGCCCCCAGATTGAAGGATCAACCTCTGATGCAGAAGGGGTAAGAGGGGCCCGCAGAATGTGTCTGGAGTACTAGCAGGAGGGAGACAGAAGGCAAGCTGGAGTTGAAGCGAGACTCAGGAGTGAAGGTAATGGAAACTCCAACTTTGGCTAGGAGATCCCTTCCTAAGAGAGGAACTGGGCAGCAGGCATAGCCAGGAAGGAAGGGCAAAGGGTAATGCCTGGAAGATGCAGTGAAGCAAAGGGGTTTGTAGGGGCTGGTAAGGTAGTCCTCCTACCCCCAAAATAGAGAAATGAGATAGGGAAATAGGTCCCCAAAACTCCTTTAGGACCGAGTATGTGGCTTCAGTGTCCAAGAGAAAAGAGATGGGTCTACCTGCTACCACAATGGTTACCCTGGCTCCTGAGGAGTGATGGTAGTGGTCAGGGAAGGGGATCCTGGGATTTTCAATCACCCATTGCCAAAGATCTGCTTGAAAGGTTTCTGAGCCAGGTCACCTTTCACCTCTTGGTGTGTGAGAACAGTGGACATCCCAGTGTCCTTCCTGATGGCATTTGGGACATGACCAGGAAGATTCCAGGGATTCGGGCACACTCTGGCCCAATAACCCATTTGACCACATTTGAAGCAGGGGCCATGGGGTCCCCCTAGCTGCTTCCTTGGGAGCAGGGATGCTCAAGCTCCAGTGGATGGGACAGGCTGAAAGGCCTTGGCCAGCATCTGGTATTTGTGTTTACAGGCCTTCTCATCCCTCCCATTATACACCGTAATAGACACTGCCAGAACCTCTGCTAGGGGAGTTAGGGGTCCCTTCTCTAGGCATTTGAGTTTAGTCTTAATGTTGGGGAAGCTCTGGGAGAAAAAGTAGGTGGTTAGTAATGGTCTCCCATCTGGGGTTTCAGGGTCTAGATTGGTGTTCTTAAAAGGGCCTCTGTAAGGTGGTCCAATAACATTCAGAGTTTTTCATTTTGGTCCTGAATAACTTCTGGAGTTTCTCATAGTTAATAGCCTTATGGGCCAGTTTTCTTAGTCCTGCCATGAATCAGGTAATAAATTGATCCGTTCAGCTAAATTTAATCCCAGGTGGGGTCATAATCAGGGACGGCTCAGTACTAATTGGGTTAGTGGGCAAGGTTTGGTGGACGTTGTCTGCATAGTTTCTGGCCTGTTTCCAAACTTGCCTGTGTTCCTCAGGTAGGAGTGTGTTGGGTAGGATCATATGGATGTCATGGAAAGATACATCGAAGGATTGGGTTAGATACTGGAATTCCTTAATGTACCTTGAAGAATTGGAGGTGAAGGACCCTAGCTTCTTTTGATTTGGGAAAGGTCACTAAGGGAGAAAATGATGAGTACCCAAACAATTCCCTCTGACCCTGCTACT